TAATGGGTGTTTCATTGATTAGGATATACTGTATGCATGTGTCAAAATGTTACAACCAAAACTCCCCTTGTACAATTATTAAAAGTAGTAATCAGCATAAACCCTTGCAAGAGAAAAAATGTCGCCCATTGTTCAACTGCTGTAACATGTTTTGTTTTTTCCTAGTTAAATTTTCCTCTCTCTCTCCCTCTTTCCCTCTCTCTCCCTCTCTCCCTGTTTAAGTGTAGCTAGGTAAATAGAATAACCTGGATTATAAAAATGTGTTTCTCTTTTTTATTCTAACATTCATATATTCATAGTAGTATGTTATATAACATACATCTTTAAGTTGCTGTATAGTGTTCCATGATTATACCATACCATACTGTGATTTTTAAATATTTTAAATGTCTTTGCTGTTTTCAGCAAATGTTGTTCAGTGACTGTCAGGTACGGGTTGGGGCATAAGCGAGGTTTATTTTGGGAGTGATCTCATCAGATTGGACTGGTGTGATTTTCCTGAAAAAAAAGGACAGGTTTCTCCAGATCCTACTAACATCTAGGTAATGAGTCTAAGCACATTTAAATTTTGTTTTTTAAGCACAGGTAAACAATCTGAACACATCTTGTTGGGGAGTCAATAAAGGATGAGTCTAAAGAGGAGTGAAAGATTTCTGCATGTGTTAGGCTTTCCTTAGTGGTTTTCTGGAGATGGGAAGGCTGAGGCAGGTGGCGTGGCTTCAGTGAAGTTGGGAACACTGAGTTTGAATGCTTAAAGTTGAGGATGTGTGCGGGTGTACTGAGAGGGGACAAGATGACATAATAGTGGTGGAGGGTAGGGCATTTTTATTTCACTAGGAACCCTCTTGTCATGATAAACAGAATTCTGTGGGTAGTCACACACACACACACACACACACACACACAAGTTGTAGATCCATGTAACATTTTATTTTAACTGAAAAACATGTAAGTATAGATTTATTAATATTTTGAAGACAGATCCAGAAGTTTTCATTGAAGGTAGCCAATTCTGGAATAAAACATTTATAATGAGCTTCTTAAGGACTTGTGGATGCTGAATTGTGAATGAATGTAACAGCCATTGCTTTTAAAGGCAGCTTACTTTTTTCACCACTCTTCAATTTAGCTTTCATAGAAGCAATTTATTCTCACTCATACGAAATGTTGAAATTATAATCATAGTAACAAAGAGAGTGAGTATAACTAGTCTGGACAATGTATTGAAACACAGAACATCTGCCTTGGTTGGAGCTAAGGGCTCCAAGGACTCTAGAGAGTGACGGAGTGGCCTTTGTAGATCCTTGTGCCTGAGACATTGGCGGTGGGTTTTAGGAGAACTCAGGTTCTCAGGTTTGCATTAATCTGATGAAGCTGGAGATACATCTGAGTGTTACAGTCATGGGCTGGACAGTAGGAAAAGGATAAAGGAGTGAGCCAATGGGAAGTGGTCAGAGTTGAGGGGATAATGGACATTGCTGTTTTAGAAGGGGAAGCAGGAATGTCAACTGCTCTAGAAAGATCAAGAAAAGAATTGGAAGACAAGAAATAAAAGCTTTTGACCAAAAATTCCACCTGGACATGATAAATTAAACAGTGAGACTAAAGGAGGTTATTATTAGGAGAGGATCACAAGGACTAATAGCTATGTGCATATGATCATATGAAATGATACTTATTGAAATGAACTCCAAGAAATTGAAACAAGAAGTTTTTTTTAACTGTACAGTTTTCAGTTCTTCCCTACCACCCCCGCCCTCCCCCCCCCCCCGTTTTTTCCCTTTTGTTGCGGTTCTTTATTTCTGTACCCTTTGTCTTGTATGTAAGTTTATCTAAGGGAAGGGGAAGCACAGAAATGGAGGGACAAAGGGTGAACTATCAGCAGTGATAGTCACTAGAAATGAGCTGGAAGGGGGGTCAGGAGGGAAAAATTGGGAGAAAATGAGGGAGGGGTGACACTATGTACTAATGTACTAATTACCTGACTTCTGTAACTGTAATACCTCTGTATATCACCTTTACAATAAAATTAAAAAAAAAAGAAAAGCTTTTGAAGTTGGGTGCTACTTGCTCATATCTGTAGTCCTAGCTACTTACTGAGATCTGTAAATTTCCGTTCAGAACTAGCCGGAGCAGGAAAGTCTGTGAGATTCTAGTTAACCAACAAAAAGCCAGAGGTGGAGGTATGGCTGAAGTGTGTAGAGCACCAGCCTTGAACAAAAAAGCCAAGGAAGAACATGGAGCTCTGAGTTCAAGTCCTAGTTTTGGCAAGTGCCCCCCCCCCCCCCAAATAATAGTAAGCTTTTAAATCTTTAGGTGGCTTCATTGGACTTGAAGAAAAATGCTTCAAGTAAAATAGAGGAAGTCAGACTCTTTAGGAGTGAAGGCATTTTTGTGGCTGGGGCCTCTACTTTGAAACCTAGGTTAACATAAACCCAGAGTTGATGTATTTAGGTGTTTCCACTGAAACAGGCAATAGCTGTGGTAAAATACTGAGTGAGCACTTGGAGACTGCTGCGTATTTGACACATGACTGCATTAGACAATCACATGTAAACAAAATCATTTCCATTTTTCGCAGTGCTTTTTTTTTTTTTTTTGGGTCCGGTTGTGGGGCCTGAACTCTGGGCCTGAGCTCTGTCCCTCAGCTCTTCAGCTCAAGGCTAGCGCTCTACCACTTGAGCCACAGCACCACTTCTGGCTTGCTTATGTGGTGCTGAGGAATGGAACCCAGGGCCTCAGGCATGCAAAGCAAGCGCTCTACCACTGAGCCACCTTTTTTGACTGGGGCCGATTTTGCCTCTGAGGGGACCTTGGGTAAAATCTGAGTACAGTTTGGCTGGTATTCCTGGGGTGGTCATGCTGGGATCTAGTGGCTGGATACCAGGGATACCATCCTCCGATACACTGGGTAGTTCTAGAATTACCTGGCCTCTGATGTCTATTAACACCCAGATTAAGAAGTCTGGAGTTCAACGGTAACCTGTTAAAAAGCTTACTCCCTTTTGGTCTCTTTAAGGGTTAGCTACACAGAACTACCTTCTATTTACGGCCAGGATGGCTGACAATAATACACTCTGGATAGAAGTGTTGAACTACAGCCTGCATTTGCGAAATTGGGCATCTCTTGATCCCAGTAAACAGGGCTTCTACCCCTGGGGTGCATTGTTTCCCAGCTTTGCAGTGCTAATGAAATTTGAGACAGGTTTTGCATTTTGAGAATTAGATGATGGGCAGATTTGCAACCAGAGCTAAATATTTTTGCCCTAAGCCACTCTGTTGAGTGCTTTTTTTGTAAAATATTTCTGTTTGGAGAGTTGATTCTTGAGGACCTTGGTAATGCCTCATCTATTTTGCTGAATTTCCATTTGGGGCTTGAGAAGGCAGGTGTGTAATCAGGCTCATCATTGACAGGTAGCAGAGTGGCCCTCTTGACTCCTGGGAGTCTACAAAGTACTCAAAAAGGCATTCCAGAAAAGTCACCTCCAGAATAGAATCCTTCTGAGCGATTTGAGCTAAGATCTTAGTGCGCACATTTGTCAGGAGGCAGGGCACCATGGGAAGTTGGTGCTCTGGTGTTTACAGATTTGTAAACAAGGGATATACTGTAGACAATAAAAACTTAGGACTTCTGCTTAGAAATATTTACCTTAATTAGAAACCACAGGCAATACCTGTCTAAGGATTGAATTTCAGTGTATGTGACCTAGATAGGAATAGAATGAAATATGCCTAGTAAGCGGAACCCTCAAAATTTCATGAAATAATATAACTTGTCTTAGTCTGTTTCTGTAACTATAACAATACTGGGTAATTTATAAAGAGAGTTCATTTGGCTCACGGTTCAAGTCTAGAAATAGAGAATAAGTAGGAATAGAGGATTGCTGGGGAAGCGTTTCCTCTTTGCCAAGATGCTGTCATAATGTAGAATGCAAGAAACCCTGTGTTCCTCAGGCAGTCGGAGGTTAACGCACACTCTGCTTCCACATTCAACTGATAACCACTGCACTGTATTTTTTTTTTTCCTAGCTTTGTTTTGTGTATTGCATTTGTTGTCAAGACTCATTTCTAATAGAGAAGATATAAAAGTTGCTCTGCAGTGATTTCTCCTAATTCGATGTGATTGGCAACTTAGCACTTACTTTAAGCAACATATTTGGTGCTGAGAAAGCTTAATGTGAGTCTTCTAAGCACAAGACTGATAATCTTGGAGCAAGAGCAGAATCATCTCAGAACCATATTCTATCATGTGGGTTGTATTTGCTGTGGTGGAGTAAAATTATTGAAAATCTTGAAGTCTAGCAAAAGTTTGTACCCCTTTAATTCTGAGTACATAAATGTTCCATATATATATATATATATATATATATATATATATATAGTATGAAACTCAAGTTCACTTAATTCTTTTAAAATTTATTCTGAGTATAAAAAGATCTGATTCTTTTTTGCTTGACCTCCTTCCCTTCCTTTCCCTTCTCTGTCCCCTTCCCCAACCTTCCACTCTTCCCTCTTTCCCCCTCCTCTTTCCCCTTCCTCTTTCACTTTCCCTCCCCTTCACTTTCCATCTCCTCTTTCCCCTTTCCCTCTTCTCCTCTTCCCCTCTCCCTCTTTCCTGTGATGGTGGTTTGAATGCTTTGTGTATGCCTGGCAAGTCCTTTATAATCCCCTATATCTGCAATCCTTCCTTCAACTGTTCACTAGAGAAATAATCTCATATATTAAGACAAACTATGTTTGGGAATTAAATTCTGAAATTTTGAGTTTCATCTTGGGGTGGGTTCCTTTTAGTAGGTATATGATTATGTAAGATTCTTTTGGGGATATTCTGAACATTTTGTATCCTATAGAGCTTGCCTTTTGTATGTTTTATATACTTTTTTGTATATTTTCTTATTATACCATCGGAAGGATTTGTTCTTTTTTTATGTCTATGCACATTTAAGTGAGAAAAAAGTCAGATACAAATATATGTATAAAACTGTTTTCTTCTCTTGCAGAGTTAAATATGAGAGAGTCTGTTGTAAGAGTCTGTGATGAGTCTTCATGTAAATATGGAGGAGTCTGTAAAGAAGATGGAGATGGTTTGAAATGTGCATGCCAGTTTCAGGTGAGGAACCTGAGCCTGTTTTAAATATTCAAGCATTTCCCATAGTTCATAATTCTGTATTTTTCATCTTAAACTGTGCTTATAGCACCATGAACTCTGTAAAAAACCTGGATTCATAACCCACCTGTTCTTGTGGTAAGATGCTACTGCTCTGTTACTTGTGCTTGCCATGCTTTGATCCTGGAGTTCAAGAGGACAATCTGGCAATGACAGGTAGAAAAATACTAAGATTCTATCCAGATATAGGGAAGGGAAATAAGCTACAGGTTACATTAGAGTCTTTAAATTTTTTAAAAAAAATAATCTTTTTTTCTTCAATTCTCATTTCTTGTTCTCATCTTTTAGAATGTGACTGGTTTGGAACCTCAGGGACTGTGTCAGGGTTACAGTTGGACTGGAAAGTGGACCCTTTGACTAAGAGCATGGATGTCTTTACCCTACCAGTGCTGTTTGAGTAATTTGATTATCTGAAAAAGTAAAAGAAGGAAAGGGTGTTATATCCAATTCTTCCTTTTTGTTTTTTAGTGATTAACTTATAATTTGGCTTGTTACAAAGTGATTCCTGACTCATAATTTAAGATGAGATGAAAGAACTAGAATTTTTTTTTCACTTATAATCTTGCTCTAAATGCACCTGTCATTTTGGATTTTGCAGAGAAGGAAAGGAGTCAGAAGTTAGGAATAAAAACAAGAGAGTAGTATTTCCAGGAACTCCTTGATCTCATGTGACTTTCTGTATGATATTCAAAGAAGTTTCTTCCTATCAGTATTCCATTTGAAAAGAGAAGGCACATTCCATACCCTTTCTTAAAATATGGTAATGAAAACCAAAGTTGGAAGGAGGGCTTGCATATGAAACTTCTTTGAAAACCATAAGCCACTGTGGTGTTTATTTTCATGAAAAGAAATGGCCAGTTTATGAGTTGGAGGGAAGGTGGTAGGTTTACTTACTCTTGTCCATCCAGCCAAAGAGGGTCTTCATGGGAGAAGCTTTCTATTTAGTTAAAACTTGTGGGAAGGTTTCTCTTGGGCATTTTCAAAATAGACACCTCCTTCCACATTCACGTAGGGAGCTTCTGGCTGGCTTCCGATCTTTTCTGCCTGCTAGGTGGAGACACCCGTGCCCTTCCATATTGTTCCTCACAGCACAGAAGCTGCCTGGGATAAATCACTGATAATTCAGATTCTTTCCCCCTGGAAAATACATCATCTCTCTGGCTGCTTTCAAGATGTTCTCTTTACTTTGTTTTTTTTTGTTTGGTCCGGTCGTGGGGCCTGAACTCTGGGCCTGGGTGCTGTCCCTCAGCTCTTCAGCTCAAGGCTAGCACTCTACCACTTGAGCCACAGCACTACTTCCAGCTCTTTTCTTATGTGGTGCTGAGGAATCAAACCCAGGGCCTCAGGCATGCAAGGCAAGCGCTCTACCACTGAGCCATCTTCCCAGCCCTACTTTGTTTTTTTTTTTTAAAGCACAATGAGGTGCTTACATTTGGTTTTCTTTTTATCTTACTTGAAATTGGCTGATCTGAAATCTATAAATTTATGCCACTTATTAACATTAATGAGTTAATTGTTTTTTAGTATATTTTCTCTCAATTCTCTGTTCTAATGAGTTTAGCAACTCATTAGACCTTTCCATATTCCGTTTTTTTTCTTCCTTTTTTTACATTAAATTATTATTTTGTGGATCATTCTTCAGGTTCAACAACTCTTTGGTTATATCCATTCTTCCTATTTAGTGAGTTTTTAGTTTCATTTTTTTTTAATTTCTAGGTTTTATAGCTTATCGGTTGGGATTTCTCATTTTTTTATTCATTACAAGTATATTTATTTGAACACAGATATGAGTACTTTAAAATTTTTTCTGCTAAAGGTCAGATAAGGTGATGTTAGGGAAATGAACCCTAAGATATGTATTCAAATATTTTTTTCTTTCATGCGATTGTTTCTAACACATTTATAAGATTATTTCTTTGTTGCTTTGTATGTCCCTCCCCCACAGTATAACCCCTGCTTTCACTGTATTTGATGTCAGTATAATTTGTGGAGGGGAAGGGGAAAAACAAATAGTTTAAATAGGGATACAGGTGGACCCATTGCAACAATGAGATGTACAAGTCGTTATGTTGAAAACGAACTTCACAACTTTGGTGGGGGGGGGGGGGTGGGGGGGGTAGTGGGGGGGTGGCGGCGTGGGGAGGATTTGGTGGGGGTGGGGGGGGAGGGAGGATGGGAATGGATGGAAAGGGGAAACAAAGGAGGAGGCTACAATGCTTGCTAAGAAATGTACTCATTATCTTGCCCATGTAATTGTAAACCCTCTGTACAGTATTTTCACAATTAAAAAAATGCAAAAAAAATTTTTTTCTGCTAAGGTCAATATGTACAACATTTTCTAGGTATTGTTTCTTGGTTGCATTATGTTTATTTTTGTGTCTTAAGAGTATGTTGTCAGAATATTTTTGAGTTTATCTATGCATTATATATATGTTATAAATGATATGTATGCTTGAATTCTGTTGTGTTCCTTTGAAGAGAATTGCTAATTTGGGGGTGATAAAATTAATTGAACTTTCCAAACGGTATATTCTATCATTGGCTCAAATTCTCAATATTTAAATAATCAGTTCATTTCTTTTAAACCCAGTGGAGTTTCTTGGAGTCTGTCCCATGTATGGGCCAGAAATTGGTTCTGAGTATGTACTTACAGGTGCTGGGACTCCCCTCTGATTTCTGGAATTTCCTTCCCACTTTGCAGTGGCTGGTTCAGGCAGATCTGAACTAGATCTCTCTTCTGGTTTATCACATCAGAAAGTTTGTCTTTTATCTCCATAGAGATTTAGCATGAGAAAGTATTCCTTTAAATGCCTTGGTATGGACTTGGGATTCTCATGTTAAAATTCACATCCTCACTAGCAGCAGGGTATTGGATTGCCTGTTTTCTCCCAGAGTAGTGATAGTAGGTTTTTGTCAGTTTGCTTATACTTTGTAAACATGAAAGTAAAAACAAAGCATTTATTTGCATCTGATTACTAGAGAAATTGAAAATATGCTCCTTATTTGTTGATCATTTTTTAAGAACTAGTACTAATGTTATTTCCTGTTTTTTTTCATACTTTCTTTTTGGTTTGGGTTGATTGGTAACATATATGTGATTATGGGTGTGTACTGTATATAGTATTTGCTGTGCTGAGCATTTTATATCCATTAACTTATCAACTCCTAGGAGAACCTCCTGTTTTGATGTGCTTTTGAAAAGAGTAATGTATACCTGTATTTTAAAAATGTAAAAGGGTATATATTGAAAAAAAAAAGGTCTTATAATCCAAACTATCAATTGCTTTTTCTTGTAGGCTATATTTGTTGCTGTTATTTTTTTTCTAAAATAGTCTGTGTGTATCTCTTAGGAATATAAATCACTTAATGGTATTTACTTCAGGAGTTGTTACCTCCCAGTTCATGTAGATGCAAAAAAATAAAAGAATTCTGTAGAGAAAAAGAAGTTACCCTGCTTTCATTATTTTTTATCTATTTTTTGTAATACTGTACAGAGGGATTATAGTTACATGAGTAAGATAATGAGTACATTTCCTATTGAGCATTGTTACCTCCTCTGTTTTTCCTAACCATCCCTTCCCTCCCTTGCTTTTATTATTTTAAAAATTTATTTGTTTCGATATTTTTGAGTTGGTGCTCACTGTGTAGCGTAGGCACACCTTCAACTCAAGATCTTGTCTCTACCGCCTGATTACTGAGAGGATTGCAGATTTATACCACCATGTGTTGGTGGCAAAATTTGATCTATTTGGTGGTACTGGGGTTTGAACTCATAGTACTCCTGATGATTGAACTCAAGGTCTTACCCTTATTAGGTAAGCACTCTACCCTTTGAGCCATGATTCCATCCCTTTTTGCTTTAGATTGTTTTCAGATAGGATCTCACTTTTTTTTTTTTTTTTTTCCTGATTGGGCCTCATTACCTGGGATTGTAAGCTTAGAAAAAAAATTTACTTGTTTTTGGTTAACAGGTAATAAATAGTTTTGTGTGTTTCTTTTTTTTGACATAAGTTTTAAAGTTTCACATTATACTTATCTGTGTCTGTCTGTATGGTTCTGCTTCTTTTTCTTTATTCATTGAATGTCTTTTCCTGAAAATTCTAAGATTGTAAAGAAAATAGCCCTTTCAGCAGCTAGAAAATCCTTTTGTGAGCTGCCTGAATCCTTTCTGTGCTTACTCTGTCACAAATCAGGAAAAGGAAATATAAGGAACTGAGATCCATAGACATTTGTCCAGAGCTTTATGTAGTGTGTTAAAGCTAGATGCTAAGGATGTGAAGATGTTTAAAGACAGGCTGCTTGCCTTGTACGGGCAAACTGCCTTAGGGCTTACATCATGATTTGATCTTCCTGCCCAGGAAATCTTCCTTTGGACCACTCTGCCTTCCAATAAGCTTATAAAGCTGTTCCAGTTGGACTCAGGTTATTGCAAGCTTAAGAACAATGATTGCATATACACATTAAATGCTTTGCTCCACTGTATACTGTACAGTGTCTTTCAACTCATTAAAAAATAGTTGTTGATGATTCAGCATGTTTTCAAGGCTATTAACAATTTAAATACATTGTAATAGATAACAGGACTTCATGTAAAAGTCTAAAGTGGTATTTTTATTCTTCTAATAGAGCATTTTTCTTGCCACATTTAAGAACAAAACCACTTTTATTAATTTTGTACCACAGAAGTGATAGATACTTTAGATTTCTGTTAAAAGTTAATGCCTTTGACTTTTTCCCCTATGTCCTTTCTACTTCTTTTTTCTTCTACCTGGAGTTCTCTCGTGTGTGTGTCTTTCCTCTTGAATTTATCAGGGCCTGTCTTGCTAGATGCCAGTGTCTTCTTAGTAGATCTTTGCACTAGAGTTTTCCAGAAACATAGAACCAGTAAAAGGACACACACACACACACACACACACACACACACACACACACACACACACACA